TTGCGCGAGGTCTCAGGGGGGGGCCCCCGACGGCGCCGCAGCAGCGTCTCCCGAGGGCTGCTGCAGTCACTTCTCTGAGCAACGTTAGTGCTGAAGATGCGCGGCTGGAAGTGGCACCGACAGGCCCATATGGGCTCCCTGGGGCGCAAAGAGGGAGCCGGTTTCTCCCCAGGAGCGCGGCGCTCACCGCAGCCTTCATGTCTCCTCCTCCTCCTCTTCCTCCTGCGCATTCCGAGTGGCACAAACTGCTCCGCTGGGTCGGAAGCAGGTCAGGAGCAGGTCCCACAGCTCTCACGTTACCGCCCATGGCGGAGCTGGGGAAGCGCGTGCCACAGGATGGGAAGGTAGGAAGGCAAATGATGGGGAAAGCGCTGGGATGTAACCTTGGGCATTGAGTCATTTCCTTAGCTAGTGCTAGGGGGTAACACCACCAAGGTCAACAGCTTCGCCTTCATGTACACCAGGGGAGAACCTGACACACGGTATTTTCCTCTCTTTTTTCCCCCCTAATTTCTGGTCTGCAGCTCATGCTATCGAGCACGGCTGCAGCCAGGCCATTTGTAAACACACATCACCAGCAGATCGACCAAACGATTACCAGAGACGTCAGCTCCTTCCCCATTTGTGATACACGGAGAATTAGCACAGCTTTAATTGCACCCATCACTGCTCTCTGGCAGCGCCAGGAGCTGCTCCGGCGCATCCCGCTCCGGCTGCTGGCACCGAGATCCCGGCTCCAGCGGAGCTGGGAAGGGCTGGGCAGCCGCACGCATGGACACGAAGCCTCCGACTGCTCGAGGCCAGGGAATCCCAAGCCTTCACAGCGCTCCTGCATTTATATCCTTGGAGACGAGCGAGGAATCCAATCTGGGCAGCTATTCCCCTAGTTTCTAGCTGTCTCTGAAGACACAGAGCGATGATTCACGCAGGGGGCGGGAGGCAGGGAATGGTGCCAGGGGCTGGGATGGAGGCTGTTCTCCACTGCAGCCACGGCCAGGAAGCAGCCCCGGCTCCGCTGCGCGGCTCCTCCCTCCCGATAACATCTACGGAGCGGAGAAGCAGCAGCCCTCGACACAAACACGAGGAGGCTTCGCTTCACGGCGGGGCTCGCTGCAGCTCTCGGCTCACGCGGGCGCCCGCTCCGGCTCCCTGCCGGCTCGGCCCCGGGTTGAGGCACCGGGACGTTCCCCAAGCCGGAGCTCAGCCCTCTGCAGGGCCGAACCCCAGCAGGTCCCACGAGCAGAGCGAGGGGCTCGCGAGCAAAACCCACCTGCTCGCGGCCCGGAGACGCCCGCTGCGGCCGCGCGCGTTGCCCACCGCACGCGTGGCCAGGAAGGCTCATCCCACCCTGCTTCCAAAGGTCACTTCCCGCTGCCACCTCCCGCACGGGACAGGGGCTCCCCCAGCCTCCTATAAATAGGGCGACGGGTCCTCACGGAGCAGCGGATCAGGTTCCTCCTTGGGGACGGTGCCAGCTCCGGGTGCAGCCGACAGAGCGTTGCCAGCAGGTTCCTTCCCCCTCCTGGCAGCAGGGGAAAGAGCATCCCCACCCAGGCTGGATTCATTAGCCCACATTTGCACGAGGTGACACCAGCAAGACAGACAGCAAGAGCTAAGCTGGAAATTAGCAGCTCATTAACCGCTGACGGGGAAAGTCTTCCCTCCTGCCCAGAGGACAACGTCACGCTCAAGGTGGCCGGGTCACAGGCGGCTGAAGCCCCTGGGCTCCACCAGGATCCCGAGCACGGCAGGGAATAGCCGGATGCTGCGGCAAACCTGGGAGCGAATCGCTCCTTCCCATCTCCTGCTCCTCCGTGCCCAGTGCTGAGGTCAAACCAAGCTTTTATCTTCTCCTAGATTCCAGCACGCGGGGGGAAAAAAATAATATTAGAGGAATAAATTAGCATGTGAAATGTAATTTAACTAATTAGCCCACTGGAGTGGAAAATATTTGCTAAGCGCTTTGAAGTGGGGCTGCTGCACCGGGGAGGTGGCGCGGGGAGAGACCGCCCGGAGCGTCGGAAAGGCGGCCTGTGCCCACGGATCCGCTCGGATCCGTCGTGCTCTGTCACCTCTGTCCCCCCCTGCCCATTCCTGCGCCCTTCCCGCTCTTGTGCGGAGCCGCATCCGGGGCCACGCTCGCGTGCGGGGCACTGTGGGCACCCGCAGGGGACACCCGGTGACACCCGACAGCCCCAGGGTGTCCTGCCAGGCAGGAGGGACACGACAGGGACCCCCGTGCGGCTCCGCAGGACTCGCTGCCGCGGCCCTCCCTGCGGCTCCGGCTCCCCAGAGCAGATATTGCCCATTAAACCGCCAAAGCCGGACGCCACAAAGCTCCATCACATCAGGGAACTGCCCGAGATGCCACAAAGAGCCGTTACATCCCCTGCCACATTGATTTCCCCATCTCCCAGATATGGAAACTGTTGCGCTCTTACTAGCAAAGCTCTGGAAATCCCAACCCGCAAGAGCAAGAGCGGTGCCCTGGGAAATGTGGCAATTGCTTCGGGTGGATTGAGAAACAGAGGGAGCGATGGCAGCACCAACGGAGCCCTTTGCGCGACACACGCGGCGTCCCATGCGCACGGACACGGCAGGTGACTGTCACCTTCAGCCCATCACCGGCTGCTGGCAAGATGCTCCCTAACGGGGTCCCACTCTGCCCTGGACATTTGCAAATGCTCGTGGAAACCTGAAGGAGCAGCCCAGCCCTGGCAGCATCTGCCTTCCCGGTTCTCCCTGGGAGGCCCAAGTCCCCGGGAAGGCCCCGTGGAGCGAGGGCAGCAGGGCGCAAGGAAAGCCCGTTTGGAAAGCAAGACCTTCCCACAGGGATGACCAAGGAGCGATGGACGGGATCCCCGGAGAGGGTCAGCTGTGGCTACTCCTGCACCACGCTGCCCTTCAGCTCCCACAGCTTCCTCATTATCCCCTCCATGCCTTGGCAATGTCGCTATCCGAGCTGGCATCCACATTCTCCCATGTCCACCCTGCAGCCATTCCCGCTCCCTCCGGGCGCCTCCAGCTCTCTCCCCACCACGTCCCTCTCTGCAGCTCTGCCCTTTGACCACAGCTGGGGTTTGCCCAGCAGCTTCCCAAGGGAGATGGTCACACTCTCCTGGCTTCTTAAAAACAAACAGGATCTGGATTACGGAAAGGCTTCTGACCGCTCCGGAGACGCGGCCGGTCCCGATGGGCAGCAAAGCAGCACCCAATGCCGCTGCTCAGGGCGCCAGGCCCAGGGAAAGGCAGGATCGGCCAGGCCGAGCTGCAGACACGTTGACTTGTCCCAAGTTTCTCAAGAAGGAGCGAGCGGAGCCGCAGCC